GCGTGATTTCATGCATATTCGTGAAAAGCTGCCGTGTTTCGAGAAGGTTAGGACGGAAAGGGGTTCAGAAACGGCTCCCCAGCGCAAATATTCTTGTCGATTTCTGCCTCACTGAATTCATGTCTAATCAATGGAGGTCTCCTGGCCTCTGGCCAAATTAATTAAAAATATGTACCAGCCAAGCAGTACAATGAGATGATCCCACATCTGCCTCTCTCGGGAGCAGGTGATGGCATGCCGTCAGACGAGATGAGACTGGGTGACCCTCGTGGAACAGGCGAGCCTCCGACCAGCCACTGCGACTTGCGCCTCCCTTGCGCCAGCGCAGCGAACCATTCTCATTCAGAAATTTATTGTGGCTCTACATATTTTCCAGTTAAGCCTTTAACTGCTAATGTTCTGTTTAAGGTGTTAATGTCAAAATACATCAACTTCCCTTTTTCTCAGTGATTTTTTGAAATTTTTCGTCGTGCAAAAAAAAATTATACCTTGCCAATTGCCTCCTAAGATCTGGGTGGTATGTACACCAGCCAAATCGAGGTTTAATTTTTCTGAATCTAAGGTAGTTAGACAACGTATGGTTTTAAACGAAACGTCCATATACCGAATTAAAGTAGAGACATACTCCTATGCCAAATTTCACTATACAACTCTTCATAGTTTCTGAAAATTCATTGAACGTACATCCATCCATCCAATAAAATAAAACCTAACCTGCCCGCTTTCCTTTGGACGCCTTTCCTTTTCCTTGCAGAAAATGTGAAGAATCCGTAGTACACGGTGTTTCAAAGAAAACTGTGCCAAATCAATTTTTTTATAGTATAGATGTAGATTGTACAATACATTTTATTCAATTGGCCCAATATATAAACTCCGCATGAGAATAGATATAAGAAAGTATGTGTCGAATTTGAAGGAAATCAACACCTCTTGCTACAAGCCACACCGGTTCAAACTTGGAAGGATAAAAAATGCCCCGGGCATCCCCCCCCCCCGACGCGTCTAGCCCAGCCGGTGCAGCGAGCGTCCGTGCGGGCCATACCGAGCAGCCAAGGAGGCAGACGATCTGCTTCTTTTCTCTGCGTCATCTGCTCTGTGTCTTTTATTTCATCTCTTTGCTTTTCCTTGCTTTGCGGTTGATACCTCTTCCTTCTTAATTATGTCGTCACGCTCCTCAATGAAGGAGGATAGACAAGCTACTAGCACATCGGCTGCCATGTGCATAACCAATGATACATTCTCATTATATTTTCCAAGCGACAACAGTTCCTAGCTGACAGGCAGAGAAGGAAAACCTACTCGATGATTGGCACATGGAACTATTTGCATATTCATATATTGACTTGGATTCGTCACAGAAAATTTTAATAATGATAACCTCATTAAAATTCAGGGTAAAAGAAACATACATGCGACTCTAGTAAAACAAATTTATTTCACATTCATAGGCATATTCATAAATTATGAATGGGCACGTTTAGGGATACTGTGAGCTCTGGTGAAAAGAATCTACTTATTTCTCACCTTGCGACATTTAGTGGTAGTCACAAATATATATTTTTAGCAGCAATACTTACTGATATTGAACAAATAGCAACGATGGGTGAGAATCTACTAATATTGCACGGAACTGAAGCAAGATGCTTTGGCCCTGGCCTGGTGAACAGCTGAGAATAACCGACGCATCAAAAAACAACGAGGCAGCTAAAGCTCTATCTGCCGTCTAGGAAGTAGAAGTAGCCTCCATTGACGAACCACTACTGCTGCATTTGGCTCATATTCTGTCGGTACCAAGTGTATCACCGATGAACAACGCTTTTCTCAGTAGCTAATGGCTACTGGATATTATGCATCACCGTAAAACGCTAATAATAAAAAAAGCTTCTTAACCCATCAGGGTTAGAAGCATTTTTTTAAGCTTCATAACTCTAGTGGGCTAAGAAGCTTAACCCTGGCATACTGGGGACTCGGCACGATGATGGAATCGCGAAAAATGACTTGGCAGCCAACGTGTTAAGGGTTTACGGGGGTGCTAACGGTTACAGTTCTCGCCGTTTCTTGAAAGAATTTCCTAAGAATTGGACAAGAAGTAACCTGGGCGAAAGGAATCAAAGATGCCGGCACGATTAAAAGAAAGGCAGTAGACCACGCTCGGCACGAAGGGAGATATCTGAAGACTATTAGCACATTCGATTCACTGTCCACCGAATGATCACCTGTGAGGGTCTATCTTAGGGTTTTCGGGACATTTCGGTGCGGACGTGTGACATTAGCCCTTCCTGGAGTTTCTCAGACCATCTCGACTCAGATATCTGTGGATGGACTGTCTCGGAAATGCAAATGCATGTGGGATATCATCCCATTAATTCAGGGATGTCCGTGACCGCTATGTCCATATTGAACCACATTGATGACCGCCGCTAACCAGTTTCATTCTCGCCTCATCCTCATGAACTCCGTACAAAAATGCATCATGCGTTTAAAAAAAAATACCCTGCCACCGAAACGAAAGCAGAAGCAGTCGTGAATCCGACTTAACCCCAGCTAAATATCCGGCAACCGTGGTTGATGGGACCGGGGCCCGTCCGATAAGCTTAAAGATGAGACTGGAGCCTGCCCGATAAGCCTTTGGGCTTAAGGCTTATCAAGCGGGCTTCAGTCACTTCAATTAATTTCAATCTTCACGGCGAAATAGTGCATCGCCAACAACGGAAAGGGCTCTACAAGTTCATATCATTATTCTAGTGGAGCTATCTCCTCAATAACACTCCTGGAAGGGCTACCCAGGGGAGGGGGGAGGGGGAGAAAGAGAAAAAAAAAATACTGCATGAAATTCACATCTACGAAAGACGAGATTCTGCGATCTCTCCAACTTCAAATGGAGATGGAGCTTCAAATTTGCTGGACCGATTCTGTGTTCTGGGGGTAAGAAGCAAGCCCGATTTCGTTCCTCCAGATGCTCTCAGAGAGGAACAAGAGGAAGTGGAATTTTGTATTAGATAATAACTGGAAGGGGTCAAATAAAGGAATATAGACGCCTCAGCGCCTACTGATTCCGGAATGGCAACAGCGCAATGCTTGCTTCGGAGAACGCGAAAGCCATTTTGAGCATGAGCCGTGGCCGAATTATGTCTTTCAGTTTCGGCGAGAGCCTTCCATGTTATCGTCAAAAACGAATCGGCACAGTTTCTTTTAAAATACCATGTAGTTCTGTGAATCGATCGAAATGCAAGCAAGGTCTGAAACTACGAACACCATCCTTACCTTCATATTTTATTAAGCCTTCATTCGATAAAGGCGAAAGCGGCAACTAATTGTCTTTTCCTGCTTTCTGATTCTTGCAAGGCGCTACTGAAAAAAAAAGGTCCCGATGCCTGTGAAAGTTGGCATGCAAGATACGAATCGAATTCGTTTTCAGCCATGTTCGTGGAAAAGCAGGCGTTTCATATCAAAATTTCGTTGATAAAAAAAATTGTGATACTCAAAATTTCACATTTTATCACATTGGAATTGGATCCTGGAAGAACCGCTTCCTCCCTTCTTTTTCACCTTGTACCAACCCAACGCTTTCTCGGTTCGTCTTTCGCTTGAGAAAACGTAACGGAAAAGTTCATTTTGGCGGTCGAGAATCAGTGTTTGTTCCATTTGCGATGAGAATTTCTTTAATGAGAAGCCACTACTGGATCAATTATTTCCAATTCCGTCACGCTCTCTCATCGTCGTTCTTGCTCTTCTGCATGCTAGTAGTCGTTTAGAAGTGCATGCTAGTAGTCGAAGCATGTGTGGCGGTCGGTCGGTCGAAAATCCACTTCCTGGGTACGAAAAAACCGGTAGCCGCCCACAAGCGTTTGATTTATTGAACCACATATCAAGAGAAGTACTGGCGAGTACCGAGGGTCCAGACGCCCCGACGCAACACAGTTACGTCTTCTCCAGCGTGGAAACGAAAGGGAAAGGAACGAAGGAAAGGGAGGGTGAGAGTCCTTTGTACTGGAAAAAATAACAAGGAGAGAAAAAGGAAGGGGGTCGATCACCCGCCCGAGAGGCACATTGACCCAGAGTACTTCCAAGGGTACTTCGCAGTCCAGGTCTGTCCCCGCCGACACACATGCCCCCTCTCCCCCCCTCACCCCCCCTCTCCCTCCTCGTCCCCAGCCTTCACGCAGAAAAAGCAGCCAGACCGGGTTTTTTCCCATGCACTGTACCGTGCAGTCTGGGCGACAAGCGCCGATGAGCCTCATTCGAGCCACGTGGAATCGAGTCCCTTGACTCGAATGCAGGCCCGAGGGTAGATCACTAATAAGTACTGGCGCTCTCCACGTGTCTGGCTCCGCGCCACCATCCCGAATGAAGAGCAATCGGTTCATTGGCACTTGGAATCTCTTTCGCTCTTCCTCGTCCCACTTCCGCCTCGCCTCGCTCGACGACCTTGGCTCTCCGCCTTTTTTTTCTTCGGGACTCGGGGAACCTAAATCGCGATGGTCCGCCCGGGTAAAAGCGGCGTAAGAACCGAGGCGAAGTTCAGGAATTCCAAACATCGTATTACAATTTAAAGGAGTGCGTGCGTGCCTCGTTCGAATCCTCGTAAAACGAACCTTTGAGGATTTATGAATAAAATGACCGAGGGCAGGTAGGCATATCTTAAATTATCGTGCTAATAACGTTCTTATGCTCTAAGTACTAGATGGAAGACTTCGGATTTATGATGCAAATAAGATATATCAGAAATGGTAATAAAATTGGAAAAATGGCGCATATCGTTCATGCAAAAAAAAAGAGACAAATAGAAGGCTGATTTATTGCACTAAATCGATGCTTTCAAAACGGCAGGTCATTTGAGTGCATTCCGAAATTGATATTCAGGAGCGAAGGAAGGGGGAAGGAATACGAAAAGAGGGAAACGAGAAAACGGAAGAGGAGGAAAAAGAAGGAGAGAGAGAGAGGGGCGGCGCGAAGTGTGTATAAAAAGGAGAGGGAACCGGAGAAGCCGTACCAGTACCAGTACTAGTACCAGTCCCTGTTCGGAAACGAGCTCCTCGCGAGGGAGTGCCGCTGGAAATGCACAACCCAAAGAGCTACGCCAAGGCGAACGCGCTGCAGCGACGCGACGCGAAATTCGCGCTGGCCATGTGGAAGCCCCTGTGCTGGGATGTCCCCGGGGATGTCCTCGACCTCGGATGCGGGCCGGGTGATGTCACCGTCGATCTTCTGCGACCGAGTGTTCCCAGGTGTGCCGTCGTTTGAGATCGTCTGTGCCGTGTTCAGGTTCTTTTTCCGGGATTTTTATTATTATTATTATTCGTGGATTTGGTGTTGGATTAAGTTTGGTAGAATGTCGGGACGGTTTCATCCTAGTGGACGAATTTAACATTTTTTCTACGTACGCATTCCCCATTCCTATACTTCGCGGGTTTTTTTTTAAACTTTATTATATCAACCGGTATGTACAGTAGATCGGAATAAATAAATACAAATTAGGAGAGTCGATTGAAATCAAGACTTGGAAACTCGTTGCTCGACCGGTTCCCGTGCTGGTTTCCGACCGTGTCGCATCGTCGGGGCACGACGAGATCGAGAGATGGGAGTTTGGGGGTCCTGGCACGAATCTAACGACATAGTTGGCACGAGGTGCCCCACGCGTACTGGTCCCGGTACTCGTCTCGCGAGGCACGGACCCGAAGACCCTGTCCTTGACACAGTGACAGGAACCACAATAAACACCGTCGACCGTGAAGAATCCGGCTCCTCTTTCACCACGCTTGGGGGCTCGTCGTGCCGGGGGGTAAAAGGGGGAGGGGGGAGGGGGGGGAGGGGGGCGGGCCTTCGTCAAGGCCCAAGCACTTTCTAAAACCACCTGCCAATTTTTAGCATTTCCTCTCGGTGCTCACCTCCAGGAACGGGTTCCATAAATCCCGTTTTTCAGCCGCGAGGCACATCATTCAAGGTCACGCTATCATCCCCGACACTGTTACATAAAAAAGAAGCATGTAATGGACTCGTGCATACGAGATGTATGAGCATGAGCATGAGCATATGAGCATATGAGCATGAGCATATGAGCATGCTTAAAATACTATGCTAGGAAAGGAGTTTTAAAAACCAGGGACGGAACGCGGCTCCGGTCTACGTCCCGGTAACTGAAACCAAATGCGAAGTTCAACCCTTCGAGGAGTATGAACGCATGTATGCGAACCTCAGGTTTGGTGATAAATAAATAAATAAATAAAATAATTAGTTAATTAATCTTTAAAAAAAAATAGATGATCCTCCCAGAGTAGGCACGTACATTTATGTTTTCACATTTTGAATTCACGGTGTGCAGACATGTATTTCATACCCTTGCCTTATGCGAAACTGAAATGAATGTCGAGGCAAGCATTCATGTAATATGTGACTTTTGATCCAAATTTCATTTTCCCCGTCTTTGCTTTCTAACTCACTCCCACAGGGGGATGTCTATCCACCCCACCTCACTCCACCAAGCAGTGGCATAGCGGGGGGAGGGTGGGGGTGGGGGTGGGGGGTGGGTGGGGGATTGAGATGTAGTGCGGGCCAAGACCCGTCCACGCGGAAGTCCTTTTTTTTCTCCGCTCTAAGTCCATGGGATGGAGGTCTAGGGAGGCCGCAAAGCCCGCAGGGCGACTCGGTGGAGAGGTCGTGCGGGCCGGGTCCAAGCTCTGGCCCGCCCGTATTTCTTTTCCCCGCTCTCAGGCCCGTGAGTAAAAATGTCTAAAATATAGGGTGATTCAAAAGTCACCTACTTTTTTTTGGTGCTGTATATGGTATCAATCGATTTGTCTGCTTCTCCTGAGCAGTTTGGTTTAATATCAGTGTGGGGCGAAAGATACTTCAGAAGGAACGACCGATAAAGAGTCATAATTAGGGTAACATTACTTGAATCTTGGGTCACTTCACACCAAATCGACCAGATGAGCTCAACCATCTTCGATTTTAACAAAAATCGGTATGCATGTAGAGGAATTGATTATAAGAAAATAAATTCCAGAGTTTTTTTTTATCTCCCTCCGATCTCGAGATATATGCCCAGGCGCCAGGAGCCAAAAATAAGTGACACTCAAATTTGTCACTTATTTTTGGCTCCTGGCGCCTATATGTACTGGAATAGTGAGACTATTTTTGCTATAGCTTCTCTTCTATTCGAGATGAAAAGCTTCGTTATGGTGTCATTTTAATTGTGAAACTGCCGTCTTTAGATTGTTCTACGCTCCGAAGCTAAAACAAGAACTTCCACTTTATCGAACAGTTTGATTAAGTTCAGTGGAAGATATCTACACTTGCCATGGTTGAAACTCGTGGTTTCAATACTCGATTCCGAGTGTTTTTATGCCCTTTCTAACGATACCAAATTTGATATTAACACGCAATTGCCTCATGAGATATAATCATTTGGAATAATCGGAAGGAACATCGTACAGCACAACAGCGCACATTCCCTTGGCTCCAAGCGTAGCCCTCTGCACGTGGGAATGATTAGCGTGATCGGTTGGGTCCCGGCGTGGAGGTCCCCAGGCATATAGCCCGGGGCAAGTTGCCTCTTTTGCCCTCCCACTCTCCGTGTGTCTGCTATGAACTCCTTGCTCGTGCGACTATAGTAAGATGGCGGCCGCGCCTGGAGGGGTTCAGCGCCTCGCGCCATAGGGGAGCCCTCTCCGTTTAAACTCTCCATGGTTACAGTCTGTCCTTGCTCTTCCGGATGGAATCAGATGTGCTACAAGACGAGTTGAAAGCTGGAGAATATGCCACTAGACCCAAGGCGGGGAAGGCCGAAGTATGGAGACATGCCGATTTCAGGAAATTTTAATTCAGGGAACTGGGGAAGTTATTACTGGTCATGTCCAGTGTCGCATCTGCAACGCTTTCTTTGCTAATGTTGGGAAAATATATATATATTAACGTTATTTTTGCGGGCCGGAACCGGGCTTGGACCAGAGGAGGAGGAACGCTAGTCAAACTGGTGCGGCCTCAGGTTGAAAGAGGAGTAACGCCAGATTCGCAGGGGTGGGCTCAGGCCGATGTAAGCTGGTACGGGCCGGGCTCGGGCCTGAAAATCTCGGCCCACCTCATCTCTAGGGGGGAGGGGGGTACGTGCTTCCCCCCCCCCCCCCAACACTTTTCAAGAAAAGAAACCAAAAACAAAGACCCATGAAATGCATGATACCAGTATCCTAGAGTTCCCGTGCCCCCCTCCCACTTTTTCCATCCATGCTACGCTTATGCCTCAAAGGGTTAAAGCTCGGTCAACCCGGAAGTACTAAAAAGGGTAGAGATGGGTTGCAGTCGCAAGTAAGAAGGCCTGTTATTAATCGCGGTCGAGACGAAAGCTTCTTCCCCACTCCCACACAAAAAATAATAATTCCAAGAGCGAGCATATATGTCAACTAGGGTCATTCGTCACTCCGGTTCTTACACAGCTCCGCAATGAAAGCCTCTTGATGGAGTTTCACAATGCCCTCCCATTCCTCCCCCATAGCGAGAGGAAGATCGTGGGTGTGGACCAGGCGAGAGAGATGGTGGCCTATGCCAATGACAGATGGGGAAAGGAGGCTCGTCAGGAGCTCAACGTGGACTTCCTTCACATTCCGGCCCTGGCAGGGCCTCCGGATGAGGACCTCGATGACCTCGAAAACCTGGAAAGACCGGAACCTTTTCCCTGCTACTTTGCCAAGGCTTTCAGCTTCTTTGCCCTTCACTGGGCTCCTGACATCCCGTATGAATTTTCTTGTTACTAATAACACTCGGATTTTGAACGTACGCGGGAAATATAAATGATTTTAAATGGATTTTCAATTTTATTAATGTCCTTTTTTAAACAAATATTTTAAAAATTATCGATCTGGGTTTTCGCCCCCTTCATTTCTCGGTAATGAGGTAACATGTATCCATCTACGTGACAGATCGCTGTTAAGAACGCTGAAGATAGTGCGAAGAAGCTTGGTGGGAGGAGGAGAAGCGAAGCTGGTTCTTCTGGCCCATTGCCCAGTCTTCTCTGTGTACAAGGACCTCTCTTCCACGCTCCAGGTTCGGTCTTTTCCATTGCCTACCGAGCGAAGTCGTTTCGCATCGTCGGGTGTAACGAGCCCCGCCAGATTCCGATCGTAAAATTGCATGTTTTTTCCGGGTGTGTCGAAGCGCTCCGGCATAATCTCGCGGCATGCCCTCTCCGACGATGCAGGGTTGGGAGAAGTTCATAGGTCCGTACCACGACTCACCGGACCCGGAGGAAGAATTTCGAGGCCATCTGTTAGAGGCGGGGTTCCTGGACCCTCAAGTCGAGCTCATTAATCGTCACATCACCTACCCCAACATTCTCTTCCTTTCGAGTAAGTTTCACTAACACTTTAAGCAGGGGACGACACACTGAGCGTGGGTATCGGTTTTCTGGAGGATGTAGGACTAGTCAACAATCGATGCAACTTCTTTTTTCCTGCGGAAGGAAATTCCTCTATGCATATCCGCTCACATATTGAACGGAAATATACAGTAGATCTTCCGTTCAAAGCTGTGAGAAAATCGACCTGAAAACCGGGAGAGGAAAGGAAGGAAAGGACTGGATTTCCATCCATTTCACACCTTCACTCGGCTCACTCTCGATATCTCTCCAGGGGGACCAAAGCCCTCCCTCATATTTTCACGAGAACGGACGAGATGGAGATTCTCGGTCTCCATCTCCGCCTCGAGTCGCTTTCCCCTCATTTGTAGCTCGGGCCCAGAACTTCTCGAGAGGTCGAAGCCGAGACGAGGGAAAGAGCTTTGCCTCCGCGGTCACACCGGCGAGTCCCTCCACCCTAACAGCTCTGTGTAGCCGGACCGGGAGGTCATCAGATCACCTTAAAAGTCGTGTATCACACCTTATCGCGGCTTCGAGCTACGGGCGAAATCATCAAGCGAGGCAGGACTGAATCATTCACTGGCGTCACGTCGCACCATATAATATGCACAGGTTAGACAGTAGTAAATAAACACACACTGAGTTTCAAAAAGGCATTCCAGGGAACATGAACACATGATTGGTAACTGTAAGAACAAGTACACGGCAAAGGAAGTATTAACCCTACTAGTGTCTCATTAGTGCTGCACGCAGTTCCAGAAAAACCTATGCTTTCAAACTTGAGCGTCTACTTCTGTCTAGTCTGTGTACATAAATAAGGCGATGCTGCTCATAGAATCCACTGCGAAACGTTGAGCGCCCCATCTTGCTTCGGTAGGGAGTGAATTCCACGTATAATCACGCGTATTCTGGTATTGTTTGCTTCTCAAGTCCACTCCCATTGCGATGAAACCCAGGTTTCCCAGATATCTCCTAAACGGAAGGATGGAGCTTTACCGATAACTGGGAGAAAGAGAGCAAAGTCTACCGAGAAGCATGTCGCACCATTTTGGGTGCCACTTATTATGGTTACTGGAGTTTTATTTTTTTACCCAGTAGAACGCCATGACATCGTGCTGCAGGCATACCTGATTTGAGCTCGGTATCTCTGGCCATACCAGATGTGGCATCGAGCTCACACCCCCTTGTAAAAACATGAAATGTTAAGAGTCCTCCTCCGACATAGCTCCATTTTTTTCATGATTCTTCCTCTCCTCTGCGAACCAAGCCGCCCCATCGATCCCTATAAGAGTTTCGTCAACGCCGTTCTTGCAATGATCTGAAAGAGCGGTTGGAAACAAAAGCCTGCAGGCCTGTGTAGCAACAGGAATGTGCAAGTAACAGTTTCTCACTCTTAAATGTAGCTCGCTACAAGTAAAAGTTACTTTTAAGAAAAGTACCTCGCGACAAGTTACTTTCAAGGTACTTTCTGCGGCTGTCAAATGAAATTCAATCATATGTCCTGGAAAAGCAAGATCCAATGTCAAATATTCCACTGCTCTTTTTCAGTTGGTCCATGCCCTCCATAATTCTCTCCATCTTAAAACGTTATTAAAGCGATGTTGCTGCTCTGAGACTTGGTTGTGCGCCTGCATTAATGTCGAGAGCAGACTCAACCCCGTGGAAGTGCGAATAGCTGCAAAGTTTGTCTTCCATTTGGAAACAAGACACCACGTATAATGTGATGAATTCCATGAAGCAACTAAATGGATACATAATTGGTTCGGTAATAGTCACGTCACGAATTTATAAATAACGGCAATGTCGCTTCTTTTCTGCAACTACTTGCAAAAAAATCTCAAATTGTAACTAATAGGACTTCGTTATATCTGATGAACAAAAATGATCGATAGAAGCTTGAAAGTGTGACTGCACATTCCAATACGAAAAATTTTACTGGATTCTTATTACTATTCTTATTACTCGCCATCGGAGACGTAGCCCATGAAAGAAGCAAAATTTAGGGTGCAGTCTACTCATGAGGTCGTCACTCACAAAATGGATGAATGACAATTAGCAGGCCCAAAACGCGTGACTCTTACAGACGTCACCGATTATCGCAAGTGTTTCCGCGTCCGATGGTTAAAGCGGTTACCGGTAGCTACCAAGGAGACACAAAAATCAATCTTGGGGAGAGGTCACTGGGTCTGGCTTTTATGACAAATGGTCCTTTCTTCAATATGAACAGAGGCCATGGAGGCAGTGAACCCATTCCTAGACCTGAGCGAGGGTCCTTGTTCCAAGGAGATTCTGGATATGTGCGTGGATGAGATCCAGAAATACACCGTGAAAAGGAGTGACGGCTCCCTCTCGGGCGAATACACCCTGCTCATTGCCACGGCGTCTGCTCCACATCACAATGGAGGGCGGTAATGAAAGATGAAAACACTCAGGACGTCTTCGAAAGGGCAGAGGCTGGGGATATGGCGGATGGATCATCAGAGAGTCTTATCTGTGATGCTTCACGTGTTCATGCTTGTTTGTTTCTTTTTTTTTTACGAGACGTCAAACATAGATTCAAGCTTGAAATGAATACACCAGAACGTGCTAGTTATGAGGTCTATTATCTTTCAACAGGAAACTTCAACAACCTTTGCGAGGAAAATAATTTTTTCTTCTCATGTCTTAAATAGCATCAGCGTTACAAGGGTGGCCCATTTTCTTCTTCCTTCTATTTAATCCTGGGAATAAGCTCACTTGAGTGAAGTGAACAGAGCATAGAATCATCATGGAAACCACTCCCGATTCGGAATCATTGCTCACGCAGTATCACAATGGTCTTGCGAGAAAGGAAACGAGACATGGCCGCTGCCAGAAAGGACATCACTAGCTGAAAATCACAAAGCTATTGGAATCCAGTGCAGACATGCAATGCAACAACCCTTGTCTCTCTCACACAGATTAAAAAGCAGCATCCCTTTATGTCCTATATGGCCACCCTGTACAATAAAGGAGTGACGTAATCAGAGTCAAAGAGACAGTGGAGTCATCTATCAGAGGTCTGACTGGCTTTGGCTTGGATTACTTTTCATCCATGCTTTCCACTCACACACCCCCAATCGAGGAAATGCTCTCCTATATCCGAATAAATACATTGAAGGCTGAGAAAAACAAATGATAAATTAAGTGTCAAGGCTACCAGAAGAAGTATGCAGAACATCCACAATCAGGGTCTTCAAATAGGCCTACTTGAATAGTTAAATTCCCTTCCCTGTTCTTTTGCCTCCAAGAGTTTGCAACAAAGGAAATAAATAAGATCACCGAGACTCAAGGGGGCAGAGCGTGCAAAAAACATCACAATGGGTTTCTAGCACTGACTACAGTACACAACCATGGAGAAACGGAATGCCAGCAGCAGCTGTGGGGACGAGCAGAATATTGCTAAGGAACTACACAAATGCAAGGCAAAAACCAACAGCAGCAACAACAACAAAAAATGTCCTTTGTTTGATCTCTCCTTCTCTCAAGCCTTTCCAGAGTATAATACTGAAGTGGGGTATCCTCTAGTATTACAGATAGAAAGTTCCAACTTGCATCACTACAACAATTTCCTGCAACATGACTCAACAACACAGATGAAGTGAAGATTACCAGAAAAAAGTTTCTTATAGGCCCATAAAACAAAAAATTCATATTAAGTAACAGGGAGAGTGGCACACGTTTCAAGATGCTCCAAGAAAGACATATAAGCTATGTAAACTAGGTTATTATGTCTGGTCTCAAAACATCTCCCAGCAGAAACTACCTTGTTTCAATATAAGTATGATCTCCAAGTAACAATAGATAGAGTCTACAGTCTCTAAAATAGACTTCAGGTTCCAACAACAACATTTGTGAGGAGGAAATCCTGGAGTTGATAGTGCAAAGGTGCTCTTGAAAGTGGGAGATGACTGAAGTGACAGCCCTTTTTGAGGGGACAAAAGTGAGTGCCATGACACTAATGTGATATGTCATGAGGCTTACATATTTCTAGCAGAAGAAAATAGTCAGAAACTGACTGGGATATTGCCAGGGAATTTTCCTCAATACCTGAAGGCATCAGGACCAGACCTCTCTTCTAGCCATTCCATAGCAATCACTCCAGAACACACTATCCGCATTTTTGTATCACAGCTCCTGAATGAAGCTCACACCACTCTCTCAAGACCCTGAAGACAGACCGGACAGTGTGAAAGCACAATGGTCGAGGTGCAAACTTTAGTGTTTTTGTTTTGCCTTCATGAAATAATGATAGAGGAGATGCATCCTGCCCTATTTTCCATTCCCTAGACTTCAGCCCCACCAGTTACCAAAGTGAGTGATGAAGGGATGCCTCTAGTCTTTCTTTCCCCACTGCCACTCTGCAGAACAAGGCTAGGAGGGGGATCCAGCAATGGGTTCTCCACTTCAACATGGTCACTCACTTCCCCGCCACTATCACCCGTAGACATGTGTTTCTCTTTGGCTTCAGCTTTCATCTCATCTCCAATCACCTGGCGCAGCTTCAATGCCACCACCAAGTCCTCAAGCACATCAGTTTCCTTCTCATCTATGAGGTGAAATGTGTCATTGAAGACAGTCAAGTGCACAAACACCGTGTTGAGGTGTGAGTGCACATGCAGGAGTACAAGTTCCTTGAAATGACTGTGGTAGAGGTGTGCTATCACATGATACAAAAGTCGCAGGATCTTCCTCACCATTGACTCGAACGAGCTTGGAAATTCCTGGCCTATAACAGCATCATAATGATGAACACAAAATAATTATAAAATTGTAGAGATATTTAAAATTAAGGGGCTCACCATATTTTGTTGGGAACACAGAATCATCATTCAAGGTCCTCTGAATGAACGTAGTCACATAATCAATGTACTGTGGGGCAGGGAGCTTCACCTTTTTCCCTTTCTCATCCTGCCATAAATACTGCCTATAGTGGGTGGGGAATAAAAAGAGCAATAGAAATATCCACCAAAAAAATGCCTGAAGAAAAAGATATTTGCATCAGTTTTCATGGCCATTTCATGGCACTGACCTCTGGTAAGGTCCAATCATCTCTGGGCACCCAGATATCACACAGGATTCGGATATGGTTCCATAAATCAGGTTGATGTGGCTGAAAAAAGCAATAGCTAGCGAAAGGGACAAAAAAGGCATTGCATGAGACATTCAGAGTTTCAGCATTTGAAATATATTATGAACAGAAGAGCTCACTGTGTGTTGCAAGCCACTCATTCATGCCTATGAGTGGAGGAAGGATGACAAGGGACCTGAGCTCAGTATTGGTCAGCTTCCGTTCAAGGACAGCATCCTCGAGGTAAAGTTTGCGCTCTTCAGAAACTGGTCCTGGGCTACAATTTCCACTTCCATCTCGATCTCGAGTTCGACGGGATCTTCTACAAAGTTTCAGGAGGTAAAAAAAAAAAGTTTTTACAATTGTGTCTACCATCACTAGACTTCTGATGATCCTCTACCACAGAAATGAAGTCAATCAGTATGTCAATCAGTGGGTAAAATTAATGTGAAAAAGAGTACTACTTGATGCAACTTCAGAGCACTTGCCTTAAACATGCATTAAGACTGATGCATGCATGAGTATGATGGGGATACCGTAATTGTTCATCTTCTTCAATCTGCCTCAGCGCATGACCAAGCCAGTCAACAGGTTTTACTCTTCAAAAGAAAACATTGATCAGGCATCAGCCAAGTCTTTTGGCTGGTCAGCACTGAGTGTAACTGAAGAAGCGGAAACTAAAATCATAACAGAACTGCCTAAAAAAAATCTACAAAGATGGTTTACAGAAGAGGGGGGGAAAAAATATATAGGCCATTCACTTTAGATCTGAAGCCCACTTACCCCATCAACCACTCCACAGTATCACGGAGATATGGTAGCTTATCCAGCTTGGCCTGTTGTTGAGTTCACTGACAGTTAAGAACACAATAAATCCTTAAATAGATGTATTTTAATAGATAACAGATCATGGAAGGTCTCCCATCTCTGACATCTGCACAACTCCTGTGTAATACATCTTGAGACAATCCTCCACTACAAATACTTCCTGGAACAGATGGTCAGAAATGACAACAGTTCTACATGATTATGTTAGACTTAGATAAGCCAAGGATTAAAACAAATTTAGACCCTTAGCCTCCTTGCTTCCAAATCTAAAACATCAGTGCCTTTGGATAAATGACTCAGCAACAACTGATAAGTATCTAATCAGCTAAGTGTTTTCGACATGTAAATTCAAACATGATCAGAAGTGAATGAGAACATCTTGATGGATTTCTGGACTTTCTCCATCATGCTTACATTCAACTCCAAGCATTTATCTTAAGAAAGTGATACAATAGGAGTAATGAACAAAAAAAAAATGAATTCCACAATACAAGAATGCATTTAAGCCTTGGAGCAAGTACCCAGTGAGGCTTATGCCACATTGAAGGGTGACCATGGTAGTCTGACCCCTCCCCATTTCCACCCTCTCCAATGCATATAAAACAGGAGAAAAATCCATTCTCCTGTTATTCTGAGGCAGCTAGTGGTGAGTGCCTACTGGCCTTGCTTGGCATTGGTTCTGCTTTGCTTTACTTACAGTCCCAGCCATAAGAATCCCAGCTGGGTGATTTTGGTTGTGCTGTTTCTTGAGGCCTAACTGCTGTTAGTCCTGTGGTGTCCTGCTGCAACCTTTTGTATCTCATGCTGACTACCTGTATTAAACTCAAACTCCAGTAAGTTCCTGAATTCTAGACCCTTACCCCTTCCCTCTATCCTGTGATCCACTCCAGGCTTATAATTTGTTATTGATGACAGGTTGACCCCTTGATAGCTTTCATCAGTCTCTAGTTGCTTCATACATTCCTACAGGACATGAAGGGTAAAATCCATTTGCTTTCCTCTATAGCCAAAGACCACAAATTAGCCATTAAGCACTATAGTAATACAAAAAAGTAACACATCAATTGTTGCAGAGGAAATCATATTATTCTACAGAAGATACATGCTGGACAAGGCCTCTTTCTTGACAATTTCTGCATGATCAGTTAAGTATTTCGAAATACTTAACAAATGCCACTACTTTTGCAAGCTAAATCAGTGCCTAGGCTTGCTATCGCATTTAATTACGGGAACCACTGGAATTGGCAACCGATAAGCATCATCTGCACAATCGGTCATCGCTCAGTTCTCACCATATCAATGCGATTCACGGAGCCCTCCCTTCATCGCCCCCAAAGAGTGGAATAGGCGAGCACGTGAATGCGGCCAGGCGTCAGGGTCCCTCGTCTCATTTCTGACGAGAGGGCACAGATGTTTCCGTTGAAGCAAAACAAAAGATCAAAATAGTGCATGATTAGGTTTCACTGAGGCCGAAACTAGGGTCAAATCAGCAGGCATGCCGCTGGACTCCTACTCCCTGCTCTAAGAAAGCACAGGGTCATACGAATTCTCGGTCTCTACGAAGCGACCAACTATTCGTTACATAAGCAGACGTAGAAATCTTACAGCTGGCACTTGCGTCGCATGGAATGCTGGCATTGGGTATCCTGTGGAATTCCCCTCTCTTTTCCAAGAATACAATTCGTAAGGCTATAATATACTATTTGCACTTTGGCCGAGATATGTTTCTTGTGTCCCCACGCCAAAAAGAAATATATCCATATTTTACGAATGCCTATCAGTCATTCTCTGCCGCGTAGACTGCGTCAAATTATAGCACTGGGCATCCTGCCACACACGTTTACTTTCCAATAAAACGCACGTGCTTCCAGTCTCCCCCCCCCCCCCCCCCCCCCCCCCCCCCCCCCCACCCTCCCGCCCCCCCCCCCCCCCCCCCCCCCCTCGCGCAAAAGAAAAAACGGCACGGGGATTCAGCGTCGTAAATGTCATAAGCTGGCGCAAAAGATGTTTGATACAAAGAAGAATAACTATGGAGAATTTCTACTTTTCCTGTTTGCTTGCCTTAATCGGCACTGACACCGGCAGATGCATACGAAATCACAACCATCCGTACGGTACCAAGTTAAAGCAGCTCAAGGCTCATGAACTCCCCTTAACTCGGGAACAACAGTAAACCAACCACCCATAAAAGTCACCTAACACACATGACTCAACATAGCCTGAGTGATAACTCACCCTTATCTCTTATACAGCTTATTCCTGAAGTGGTTACTCCAGGGATACGCTAGCCGGGTTTGGCCTATATCAAAATGGCTCGTTCACGTCTCACATATAGAGACAGGAGTGCTTGCTGCTTGGATATTTTTCTTTCCCAAGTACACCAGGATTAGCACTCACAAATGAAACAACCGAATTTGTTATGAAGCTGAGTCCCCTACGAGTTCTTGGCTCATTGTAGGGGGGGCTCAGCAGGGAATGCAGAGCCAAGCTCACTACCAACCAAGCCACTTATCTGCCTCCACGTAGTAGAATTATTTCACAAAAAGAATCAATGTAATGTAAGTGTAGAGGATTTCACTTTTCTCACCCATCTTAAGCTTATGGCATATTCCCAATTGCCATAATTTTGAAAATGACTGGATTCTTTTTGCCTTTCTAGACCTAGAGCACCTGAAAGCATTCCAAGTGGTCTCTCCAGGAATACTCCTAAATGGAATGGAAAATCCCTCCAGCAGTATGGTTTTGAGTGAATTCCAGAAGACATCAATACTATTACTGGTTGAACATAGTCATTCAACAAGGGGGTTCTTGTTTGACAGAAGTCGATCATTTACAAAGGTTACTCTTTGAAATTTAACAAGCTGAGTTTAACAAGACAATTACTTCTGACATCCATAAATTCAAGGGTGATACTGGAATAGTTGTAACATATTATTAGCTTATTCTGCTAATGTCACTGAGTTTTAAGTCACCTCCAAAGATGACATGAGTATTTCTGGAAGAGTTTACAATGTCCTCCATGTTCTTGAGTAGATTTGAGGAGATGTTCCCATTACTATGCATCTTGAATGAGTAAATAAAATAAAAAAGAGCAAATAAAAATAGGAAATTGGTAGCATGACAAAATCTTGATCCAAACGTCAGATCTAAGCTCTGGATATGAGAAAGAGTTTAACCATCTCTTCTTTGTCATGACTCCTCTGTCCCATATTTAATAGTCAATGCAAAATAGGTTATATTTGTCTAATCCCATCATGGAATCTAAAATGCTACAGTCAAGCATTAGCACTATTACAATGTCTAGTTATGACTAGATAGGTCTATGACTAGATAGAATGAAGGTCTATGCCACAAAAGTGGCTCTTTTTTTCTTCCTAGGAGCCAGATAATCTGTCTGATTTGGGCCAATTTCAAAGCAACAGTTCAGTCACAGTTCTGGAACAATTCAGTTCCATTTGGGATTTCTTTGCACAAGTAAATAAAAGCACAGTGGAGTTTTAGTCAGACCAATGCCTGAAATGAAAATAGAACCAAACTGCCAATGAACTGCCAATTTGAAATTCCCCTTAGGCCTAGGGCATAACTCAAGCTTTATCTTTGTTGCTTGAAGCCAACCAAGGCCTTGTACTTTTGGGATACTGAGGGGCTTTGTTCAGTACAGCTGAACAATTGATGAACTCAGAATGGGTGCTGATGACTATGAAGTCATGAGGGTAAGCATATTTTAATTGCAAAACTCAGAATCAATATTTTGCTTTGCCAGCAACTCCCAAAATTGGTGTGCCAGGATAGCCCTGCCCATCCCATCTTGCATTGTCAAAGTTACAAAGATCTGCAATTAAAATGTAACCAAATTTCACATGGGTTACACAGGCCTGATGCTATTTCTATCAAGGGAGATAGAACCTCACATCAAATGCTCCACAGAAAAAACAATGCACATTCTAAAAGTTGGAAGAAATTCTACGTGAATCATCTGTAGAGAGTGTTGTCAGATTTGTAGGAAACCATTGTCCATGGCCTCCAACAAGCTAAAGCACATGCAACAAACAAGGTCCCACAAAATTGAGTGTATACAAGGCTTTTGTATCAAATATAGAAATGTGAAGCACCTCTTGTTCTTTCCTTTTGCTCATACCTTTCATCTGTTGACCCTCTCCATACACTTCATCCTACATTGAAATACCTAACCTACTCCTGTCTCTCATAGTCTCATAAAGGAAACACAACCAGGACTAATGGGTCCATGATGCCTATAGGCCAGTTGGACACATAACTTTGCCAGGCATGCAGGGAATGTGTGCAAAGTTGAGCATTAACTATGCACATAAAACAAAACCAGTACTAGGTTCATGTATCTATCTTCATGAACTTGGCTATAGGTGGAACATGATTCCATGAAAACAAATCTTGTGCTGTGTCTGAATGGCTTAAATGGAAAATGGGTTTGGTTCCCATGCAAGGGGAAAACTTCCTGCGCTAGGTGACTCATTTGTAGGCCTAGGCCTACTGAATATTTAATGTTAACCTACAAATAGCAGTATCCGTAGCCTTAAACCTTTGTTTCGCTCTCGAATACGAACCGGATCAGTGTCCTGAGAAATAGGAAGTGGTCATGATGTGAGATGAAATCGCGGGTGGAAGATCCAATACTGTGTATTATACTGATTTGCAAGTGAATTCGTACCACCTTCAATAAGGGATCCATAGGCCTAACGTCACTTTCGAAAGATATCCCCTCACTTCCTTGCACCCATCATAGAAATAACATGCGCAATGTTAAAGGTGGCACGAATCCACTCGCAAATCACTGCAGCGACTGGCTTAACACTATGCACAGTTGCACACTGGAAGCATGCAAGGATGCCATAGTATACAGTGATGGTGATATTCCACTCCTATAGCTCTTCCACATCCTTCTTAGCAAACTTCAGCAGCAATTGCATTTGTTTCATGTGGATAGTTGTAAAATAGCTGTTTCAAACTTATTGAGGGTAAATCTTATGAATGCGTGCTCTTAGTGATGAAGGAGCATAGTAGTTTTTGGCGCCCCTTCACAAAACATGTTTCTCCTTGTCTAGTCAAATGAAAACAAGCTGGCAGCTATTGAAGGTCCCTCAGGTACTAAGAAGGAACCAGGAATAACCAGACCTCGTTTTCAAGCCTAGGCTGAGTCACAGAG